ATAAAAAGGGGGGGGGGGGGGGGGGGGTATATAAATGTTACATAAATGTTACTGACCTCAAACATTTGCACGGTACTAGTGTACTAATTTTAATGTTAAAAGGAAACTTTTTGTTATAAATAAAGTGATTTATTGTAAAATTTCCCGGGCAGTTTCATGTTAAGGAACGTTTTTTTAAGATTAAATTACAAAAACTAAAAATTATGTAAGCAGTTTTTAAATTATGAAAACTCATATGCCTGAAAAGATTGTGTAATTTCCATAAAGCGGTGTAAAGCATTATAGTAATTTATTGGTGTAAGTTTTGAGAGGAAGAGGTTATTAGGTCAGAGGAAGGATATTGTGCAGTTTACCGTTACTGTAAAGTACTTTAGGGCACTAAAAGGTTGAGCTTTGTTTTTCTACACGCCTTTTATGAATGTTATTCTTCCTAAAATATTGGATCCAAGTCAACTTAGTCACCCAAATGTAAGGAGTTGTTTTCAGGAAGTCAACAAAGATGATCAAGTATGTGAATCTGTTCTTTTTTCTTTCTTATTTTTTGTTTCTCCAGGACTTTGTTCCACTTTATCAAGACTTTGAGAATTTTTACACAAGGAATATATACATGAGGATTCGGGACAGCTGGAACAGGCCCATTTGCAGTGTTCCTGGGGCCACTTTTGACCTTGTTGAATGCAGTTCCAATGATTACAACTGGACCTTTGAGTAAGTAGGCCGACTTGGACCTGAACAGGAAAAAAACACCACGTCTTTGACTGTTTTACCTCCCAAGATTAGAGCTGCATTAATCTAATGATTATAATATCAAGGTCACTTTCAAGCGAATGTACAATAAGCTTTCAAAAGGAAGGCTGATAGTGAAAGGACTTGATTATAACCTGAAATATGAGGTTACCGAGGTTGCATGAGACTTACAATCCAGTCTAGGGTCGTCAAGGATTTGTTTTGGCTCAAAAGAAATCTTACGCAAGTGTATTGTGCTCTTTCAGGTACACCGGGCGAGTGGTGAAGGATGTGATAAACCTTGGCTCGTATAATTATCTGGGCTTTGCAGAGAACACAGGCGCCTGTGCCACAGCTGCTGGAGAGGTGACGGTGAAATTTGGGGTGGGCGTGGCCAGCACTAGACAGGAAATGGGTGAGCGCTTATTAGTAACTTGCTTTTTGGGAAATATTTGGACGTAAATGTCCATAAGGCACATTTAAGCATTAAAGGGGTCATATGATGCTTTTTTTAAAGATCATTGTTTTGTGTATTTGGTGTAACAGAATATGTTTACATGCTTTAATGTTCAAAAAACACATTATTTTTCAAATACTGTGCATTATTGTAGGTCCTCTATGCCCCGCCTCTCTCAAACGCTTCGTTTTCTACAAAGTCCCTCCTTCCGACAAGCGCAGTCTGCTCTGATTGGCCAGCTGACCCAGTGCATTGTGATTGGCCGAACACCGCAAGCACTCATCGGAAATGTAACGCCCATTACCATAATCGCGAGCTTCAGCTTTCAAAATAAATGCAAAGACAGAGCCCGAAAGCACACACACACCTAATGCGCAAAACTCCGCATTTGAACAGTCAATAGCAAATACTTAAACTAATAACAAAACAGTAGCTGATTCAGAAGCGCCAGATTGTCATAGCAAAGTCAGAATTACCTCCTCTCCTAGGTTCACGAAACGGTCGTCCATAAAATGCATTGCTGTTCTGTTGTAAGTAATCTTAAAGATTCCTAAATGCATCTACTTTCGGAAGGCCAAATAAAGTGCTTTTGCTTTCGCCTAGAAACACACAGCGTCTCCCTGACATGCTGCTTCAACACTAACTGCGGTTACTGAAACCACGCCTTCTTTCTTTGCGTGAACATTTGGGCGGCATTATGCTAATATTTCCACATAGTGAGGTAGATATGTGGGGGCGTGTTAGAACGAGCCGTTTTAGGGGGGCGTGGCAGAGTCTTAACTTTGATAAAGAATATCTCTTTGGTTTTGAGACTTTAGTCTTTGCAACTTCAGGGATCTTATCTACGCACAATCAGCTTGTAACACTCCAAAGAGAAAGGAGAACTTGAAATCGCATCATATGCATAGGCATGTAACTCATTCTATGTACCATTTGTGCTTCTGACATGATTGATAGCTCAAATTGTGTGGGTTACTAAGGAAAAGTGTGCTTTTAAGTTTTTTGATGTTGAGCACACTGGAGAATAAGAGGACACAACGTAGAACTAAGGGCCAGTCGCACAGAAAGCATTTTTGTGTTTAAAATTGTGATACACAGGATAGTGGAATGTAAAAATTTATAAGTTTTGAATTGAGACATTTTCAACTTTTCTGAGAGAATTTTACCAGATAAACTGTGTAACGGCTAAAGCTAAGCATGCTAATTAAAGAACTTTGGCTTACACATTCTAGATGTTAGATAATATTAGAAAAATATTGTGAAAGCTGTCTGGCTGTCTCCAACATTGGCAGCATCTTTTGTGTTGGTTAATGTAAAAAGTTTTGCAGTGAAACTGAATTATGACACATCTTTTCTTCTGTATTGTGTGTCCTACATCCAAGCATAACAGATTATCGAAAAACAAGAAAAATGTAGGGCGGGATCAGGGTTGCCAGGTTTTCACAAGAAAGCCCGCCCAATTGCTATTCAGAACTAGCCCAAAACTAGTCCAATCGTGGTAAAAAATCATGTTCCGGGGGAGTAAAATACAAGTTTTTTTTTTTTTTTGTGGAGGTTCTCCTGGTAAAATTCCAGGGGATACATTTCACGTTCTTGGGGTCACTTTAACCCACGGACATGAAAAACAAGCCACGGCAACAGTGTTAAAGTAAACAAACTCCACAAGGAAACCGTGGACTTGGCAACACTGGGCGGGAGGCTTGGTTTTGTCTATTGCTTGTTGATTAGATACAGGCAGATCAGTTGAATACTAGCTTCCTGTTGATTGTAAGAAAGTGGCAGGTTTTAAATGGACTAAAGAAATGGAGAAGATGGATGAAAGAAATGAAAGAAGTCTGTCGTTTTCACTGAATGGTTCAGTTATGACATTTCGGTTAAGATTTGTTTTAAAAGTGAAACATAACATGAATTATGAATTGTTCACCAAATGATCGATAATATGCGTTTAGAAAACAGACTGACTTTTCATTTCATGCTGTCTTTGAATCTAGTTATTTTATGGGCTTATGTAGGAGCTTTCTAGGATGACTTTACTTTCGAAATAAACACAGGTGTTGCTTCTCTAGCTACTGTTTGGAGTAAGTGAGTGTTTGCTTGCATTAGCTGATTTATTTGTGTGATTTGCTTAGGCAACCTCGACAGGCATGAAGAGTTGGAGAAACTGGCGGCGTCATTCCTGGGAGTGGAGTCGGCTATGGTTTTCGGCATGGGGTTTGCAACCAACTCCATGAACATTCCTGCGTTAGTTGGCAAGGTTTGAAGCACTAGACCGTTGAGGTTCCTCACTATCTCTCTTCTGCTTTGACAGCTCCTCTGTCTCTATCTCTTGCTGTGATAAACCACCCAGGCAACTCCTAAAATTCATAGGAGTGTCAGCACAGGTGGATCCTGCCTTGACCTGTCAGTGCTTGTTTAATTGATACATAAGTTTCTGGTGTGTGAATGTTTTCCTTTGTTGGTTTAAGCACACTGGGTGGATATGTCATATTTTATCACCAGTGCAGAGGGAGGAGATTACTGTAAGGGTACAGACAGACCACCGGTTCCAACTCAAAACAGTTTGTGTAGCTCACACAATGTAATGCACTTGATAAGGCATAACTTAATCGCCACAGGAAACTTGCGCTTAGCTGCAAGTTCACCACAGAGATTTCACAACCTCACTTCCTGTTGCAGGGCAAGAGTGATTTAGCACTAAAATGCCTGACTTTCAAGATTTACATGATCGAAACTGATTTTAAAGAATGCGTATTATTGCGAAAGGCACGCATTACAAAAACGAAGACAAAAGACGCAGCAAAAAAGCTTTCACTCACATTTCTAAAAGGCATCATTATAAAAGCTAATTAAAAAATGTAAGAATTTCTATATACACTATTCAAATAACGTAGTCAGTAAGGAAGTACTTTTATTCAGCAAGGATGCATTAAATGTTGTATTTCGATTTCAAATAAATCCTGTTCTTTTGGACTTTTTGTCAATCAAAAAAATCATAAATATAAAAAATATCATGGTTTCCACAAAACATATTAAGCATCACAACTGTTTTCAACTGTGATGATAATAAGAAATGTTACATGAGCACCAAATCGGCATATTAGAATGATTTCTTAAAGATCTGTCAAAATGAAGAATGGAGTAACAGCTGCTTTAGGAATAAATGACATTTTAAAATATTTAAATAAATGCATTTTCTTACAGTGACCTGACACAGTTTGTTCTGTTTGCAGGGATGCCTGATTCTCAGTGACGAGTTGAACCATGCCTCTCTGGTACTGGGAGCCCGGCTGTCCAGCTCCACCATCCGGGTCTTTAAACACAACAGTGAGTTTACACTGACAGGCACATATCTTATCTTATCATATCATCTCCATATCGGTATGTCTTAACACTCTCAGTCCTTGTTCACAGATGTTAACAGCACAAAGGTAAAGAATAAACGTATGGTGCAGCTCCAATGCACACAAAGCTTGACGCTGCAACTGCTTGAGTGGAAGATTGACAGACCTTGACCTAAGTTGAGGTCCTGAATTTTACCTATTTGTATTCTGGATTGTTTTTGGACTTGTTTCTGAATGCCAGTTTGGTTAATGTCCAGTCAAACACCATGAATACAAATTTTATCACTGGAAAGGTCAGCTCTCCATCGCATTTCAGCTGTGTTATTCTAAATGAATCATTTAAATTGCCAATTTGGACAGATGACTGTCAGTGATTAATAAATGAGCTTGTAAATTGATAAAGTAACTTGAGGTGAATAGGTAATGGTCCTTGAAACCCTTGAGTCAGATTGTAGAGGCTTGGGGAAACTTCAGCAGCACTCTGATTGCTTATTACTGAAGTGCTTGAAGCAGTTCTTGCACTGACGCTTTGTATTGAGTTTATGTGCTGTGGTTCCTTAAATTATTACCAAGGGCACAGGTAACATTTTACTACACTATGACCCCGGAATACCACGTAGTTTTCATATGGCTGATGAACGAAAACCACTTCATCAGTAGTTTATGTCGCCAATATCATGCCATTTTATCTCTATTTTTTTAATGAATAAAGCCTTACACAAATGTTAAAAAGTCTTTGGGTCAAATGTAGTTATTTTACTCTGGGTTAAACATTTTATTTGCTTAAATGCAGATATGCAGAGCCTGGAGAAGTTGCTCAGAGACGCTATCGTTCATGGTCAGCCTAGAACACATCGACCTTGGAAGAAAATCCTCATTCTTATGGAGGGCATCTACAGGTGATTAAACTCTCTTGTTTACCTCAAATTAATTTCATTATTGCAAATGTGCATTCTGTACTGCTGTGGCTTTCTCAAGTGTGGAACATGTTATCACATGTGCATTCTTGACAGTTTTAACGATCAAATGAATTGTCACACATTTCAAAGTTTAATGTAACCTGTTATTTACTCAGTATGGAGGGCTCCATTATACGGCTGCCAGAAGTTATAGCCCTGAAAAAGAAGTACAAGGCCTATCTTTATCTGGATGAGGCTCACAGTATTGGGGCATTAGGACTCAACGGTCGAGGGGTGGTGGAGTATTTTGGATTGGACCCCAAAGATGTAGATGTCATGATGGGCACCTTCACAAAGAGCTTCAGTGCTGCTGGTGGATACGTAGGAGGGAGGAAGGTATACACTTCAAGTGCCAATTTATACATTTTATGAATAGCAGAAGTCCAAACAATAATTTGTTATATACTCTCTTTATGTTTTTATTTAATACAAAGGTTGTGAAAAGTAAAAAAATATTGAGCAAATATACACTTACCATTCAAGAGTTTTTTTTTTTTTTAAAGAAATCTGTTATGATCACCAAGACTGCATTTATTAAAAATTTCTAAAAATACAGTAAAAAGCTATATATTATTATAATGTGATTTAATGTGAAACATTATTTTTTTTAAATAACATACAAGTCTTTACTGTCACTTTTGATCAATTTAATGCATCCTTGCTGAAGATATATTAATATATTAGTTTGGGGCATTAGGACTCAACGGTCGAGGGGTGGTGGAGTATTTTGGATTGGACCCCAAAGATGTAGATGTCATGATGGGCACCTTCACAAAGAGCTTCAGTGCTGCTGGTGGATACGTAGGAGGGAGGAAGGTATACACTTCAAGTGCCAATTTATACATTTTATGAATAGCAGAAGTCCAAACAATAATTTGTTATATACTCTCTTTATGTTTTTATTTAATACAAAGGTTGTGAAAAGTAAAAAAATATTGAGCAAATATACACTTACCATTCAAGAGTTTTTTTTTTTTTTAAAGAAATCTGTTATGATCACCAAGACTGCATTTATTAAAAATTTCTAAAAATACAGTAAAAAGCTATATATTATTATAATGTGATTTAATGTGAAACATTATTTTTTTTAAATAACATACAAGTCTTTACTGTCACTTTTGATCAATTTAATGCATCCTTGCTGAAGATATATTAATATATTAGTACTGTCAAATGATTAATTGTGATTAATCGCATCCAAAATAAAAGTTTTTGTTTGCATGATATGTGTATATTTATGTATATATAAATACACGCACATACAGTATGTATTTTGAAAATATTTACATGTATTTACATGTCTATTTATATTCATATCATTTATATTATAAATAAATTTATTTAATATATAAACATAAAAAAAATTTGTGAAATATATACATGCATGTGTGTATTTTTATATATATACATAATAAATATGCACAGTACACCTGTCAAATGATTAATTGCGATTAATCGCATCCAAAATAAGTTTTTGTTTGCATGATATGTGTATATTTATGTATATATAAATACATGCACATACAGTATGTATTTTGAAAATATTTACATGTATTTACATGTCTGTATTTATATTCATATATTTTTTTAAAGAAATCTGTTATGATCACCAAGACTGCATTTATTAAAAATGTCTAAAAATACAGTAAAAAGCTATATATTATTATAATGTGATTTAATGTGAAACATTATTTTTTTTAAATAACATACAAGTCTTTACTGTCACTTTTGATCAATTTAATGCATCCTTGCTGAAGATATATTAATATATTAGTACTGTCAAATGATTAATTGTGATTAATCGCATCCAAAATAAAAGTTTTTGTTTTGCATGATATGTGTATATTTATGTATATATAAATACACGCACATACAGTATGTATTTTGAAAATATTTACATGTATTTACATGTCTGTATTTATATTCATATCATTTATATTATAAATAAATTTATTTAATATATAAACATAAAAAAAATTTGTGAAATATATACATGCATGTGTGTATTTTTATATATATACATAATAAATATGCACAGTACACGCATTATGTAAACATAAATTAATCGTGATTCATCATTTGACAGCACTAATATATATACATATAATTTTTTTTAAAAACATACTAAGTTTTGAACAATAGTGTATAATTTCCTTACAGTCATTTGTAAAACTCAGTTGTTTAACTGATATACAAAGCCAACAGAACATTTTGCATTTTGTCATTATGAAACATCTTGCTTTTTATGCTTTAGGATTTAATCGACTACCTGCGAACTCACTCTCACAGTGCAATTTACGCCACCACTATGTCGCTTCCTGTCGTGGAGCAAATCCTTACTTCTATGAAGTGCATTATGGGGAAGGATGGAACAACAATAGGTGAGTTTTACTTTATTTTACCTACTTTATTTTTCTTTGTATTTTTTCATATTTACAGATTCTCACAGAATCTGAGGCAGCCAAAAATATTATCATTTACTTGCCCTCATGCTGTTCCAAAACCATGTTATTTTATTTCATCCATAAAACTCAAAAGAAGAAATATTGAATAATATAGTGGCTGTTTTTTCCTAATGAGTGTGAACCGAAGCTTTTAAGCTTTGAAAAGGGAAAAAAAAAAAAACACCATAAGTTTTTCACATGGCTTGTGTACACGTCTCATGAAGCCATACAATAGCTTTGTGTGATGAAGAGAGAAATTATGCAATCACGTGTTTGGAATGACATGAGAGCCAGTAAACAAAGACAGAATTGAATTTTTTTTAGGCAAGTAAATAGTCAACTGTGTGTTGTTGAGTGCACCTCAAGGTGGCAGGATTGACCCAAAAATGGATAATCAGCTTGCAAGGATGTACTGTGGATGGTCTTCAGCATTTTGAAGCTGCTTTACATTACATGTGTACACTTATTTACCTGCCAGATGTTTTTTTTTTTTTTTTAACATTAGTCTCATTCTAGAACTTGCATATTGCAGCAGATAATAGGTGGCATAGATATAGATCAAGATGCCAAACATTTCAAACAAGAATGTTGTCACGAGATGGTGTTCATTAAAATCAGCCTATGTGTGTTTTTTTTTTTTTCCATCTGGCAATCAGTCGTACAATAAACAGTCGCGTCTTCTTGTTATTTCCTGTTCTCCTCTGCACATCATTCACTGAAAAGCGTCCCTTTACTTTGTCAACTCCGTTGTTCTTGTCTTTGCTTTATTGGCTGTTTTATTTCACTGTGAAAATACAATCTTTATGTTTGTTTGCTCTGTGCGCTCTGGATAAACTTGGCCCAGAAATTGAAATAAGTGTTTCTCAAGGATCACTTTGAAGTTAGACGAGGAGGGAAAAAAAAAAAAGATCTGTCGATGTGAGATTTTTCTTCATACAACTTCCCAGCGCTCATGAAATGAGACTGATTAGTTCAACAGCTGTACACAGACTCCGTCCAGGTAAAATATTTAGCTGAGTTTAAACCTCAGAAATGTGTTAACAATTACCCATGTAACTAGTGTGATCTGGCCTTTTGGTTAGACCCACCAAACTGCCTGTTTTCCCCCTGCCACTCAATCAACGCTGGCAGCTACAACAAACAGGCTCTACCGGTCTGCCGGGTCCAGGTGAAGTGCTCAATATGACTAATATGAGTATTACTTTGCTTGGCTTAGGGCTATTTTCATCTCCTTACAAAGTCTTATTGTTTCCATCATCCTTAAAAATGTCCCCTGAGAACATTTTGCTGTCTCTCAGATACTTTTCTCTTCTCCTTCACCTGCTAATGGACTTCCTGACTTTCACCAGCATCTCACATTGATGCAAAAAAAGATCTAAACTCTTGACCTATGATATGAGAAGACCCAGCTCTGGTTTGCCATTTAATAAGGTGCTTTTTTTTATATATAGAATTATTTCTATTTTCAAGAAAAAAAATGCAGTTAATTATAGAGAGACAATGCCAATCGAGAAGAGACTAGAAAAAAATGATTAAAGTTCCAATCATTAAAAATTCTAAATAAAAATAAGAATATATATGTATGTATATATATCTCTCCGTTCTTGTAAATTAGTGCATTTGACTAATTTTGGATTTTTTGGGGGGAATTTCAAACCAAAAAACATTCATCACATGCACACAAATTCAGTATTTATCCAGAACTACAAAGAATTGCTGTGCAAATGTATTTGAGTGCATTTGGGGCTTTTAGATGCACACAGTAATAACAGGTTACTGATTAACTGATGACATTTATGTAGATTAACTGATATTGGAGCATCTAAGAGTGAGAACAAAGGTGGACCTGAACAATCAAAGTGTTTGTTGGGGGTTGATGCACAAAGAAAACTAATCAAGCAAAGGTCAACTGGGAGACATCCTGTGTATCCTCATGGGAACTGAAACTCATTTGTCCCTGCTTTTTTTTGGTCCTTTCATTTTCAGATTATGCATCCAACTCCTACCACACTTGATCTGCTCTGTTTTACGCACATGTTTGATTTGAAGCCTGCAGCACTGTATTGATCTGACAAGTGACTTCAGTGTGAACAAATAGCCTCCAGCACTCATTTACTGCCAGGTTTACAATTTATATTCTTTCATAAAGTTTCATTTCATTTCTGTGGCACAACAAAGATTTCAATCCCACTTTTCTAGCTTATGCAATATTAAATTGTTTCAATAGTTCTTGCAATATGACACCTACTTTCATGTGCCAAGTTTGCTTTGGATGTCATACTTGGATGTTCACTGTACTTGGGTAATTTTAGTCAGTGTAGCCGATTTCATCATCAGGATAACTATTATGTAGAGTTTTTCATTATATAGTTTTCATTTCATTGAGTGGTTTGTTTGCATTTCTCCTCCATGCACACTGCAAAAAAAATGTTTTCTAGTTATTCCATATTTTACAGTTAAAATATCTTAGAATCCTTAAAACAAGATCAGTTTAGCTAAGAAGCAACACTGTGTACAATATTAAGACTTGTTTTTTGAGAGTGTACCTTTTAATGTTTAATACAATTGTATTCTATTTAATTGCATGGGCAGATTTAACTAAAAACAAGTGAAAAAGTATGTCAGTGCAGTAAGACAAAAATATATTCAAAATACAGTCTATTAAAACAACGCTCAAAATTATTTGAAGCACCAGTGCATAAAATATTATCTTGTTTTAAGGATTTTTAGACATTTTTACTGGAAAACAAGCCAAATTAAAAACTTTTCTTTGGTTTGTCCTGGACTGGCCTACATTTTCAATTCATTTATTGTTTCTGAATACAGATGCAGATGCTTTCACAGTCTAGTGGTTTCACAGTCCGACGTGTCCTTGGCCTGAAGGGAAATAAAGTTTTATTTTGATCAGATCTGGCTTTCAAACCATCCAAAACTCCTGGCGTCCCCACACAAACAAGCAGATAAGAAATATTCCTGGCCTTGCTCATTCTCAGGGGGAAATTAGCAAAAAGTTTGAGAATTCTAAAGATTTTGCCTCATAAATCTCATTAGTTACCCAAGCTGACATTTTTATCTTTCTGCGGTGTGTGGTGATGAGCATACCTGATCTCATTGTTAAGCCTGGTTACTTCTCTGTACACACAGGCAGACTTGACAAACACTGGACATTCATCTTTGTCTCGAGGTGTTGACTTGCTCTGTGAGAGAGGGCAGATACACATGTTTTAGGTGTAAGAATGTGTTTACCCACACCCCCGTTAGAGCAGGGTAATGGATTGTTATTCCAGATGTTGTAATGTGCTTCTGTTTCTTTGACACTTCCATGGTTGTGCAAGTTTTCCAAACCAACAGACCTACTCTAGCATCCATCAATGACTAGAGCTGCAACATCTAATTGTTACTGAAAAGGTCAACAGTGGATCTCATTATTGATTTATAGACATTAGTCAGGGTAGCATCATATTTAATTTTTTACAGAAATTAAAATGAGGCTGTGAGGGATAGAATTACAGTGGATTGTACTGTTGTTTAACAACATAACATGTTAATTATTTGTCGTTGGACTTTAAATTTAGCTTTGAAATAAACATGTAATTGAAATCCTGCATGTAAAGCAAGTCATGATATTTTTAAGAACAATGACTTTTATAGGATATGCATTACCATTTAAAAGTTTAGTGTCTGTAAGACTTCTTTTTTTTTTAATGTTTATGAAAGAAGTTTCTTAAATTCACCAATGCTGCATTTATTTGATCAAAAGTACAGTAAAAATGTAATATTAAAATATACTGTTATCTATTTTAGTGTCAATTTAAATCTATTCCTGTGAATGCAAAGCTGGATTTTCAGCATCATTGCTCCAGTCTTCAGTGTCACATGGTCCTTCAGAAATCATTCTAATATGCTGGTTTGGTGCTTTCTTATCAATGTTGAAAACAGTTTTTGTGGAAGCAAAAATTCAAAATTCTTTGAAGAGACCGCTCAAAAGAACAGCATTTATTTGAAATATAAATATTTTGTAACATTATATATAAATGTCTATTACCTTTGACCAGTGACGAGCTAAGCCTTTGCGGGCCCCCCCCCCCGTTTACACACCTGTTTTATTTAATTAATTGGTCAATCGAATATGCGATCAAACACCGTATAAAGACGCACACGTTATAACAAACACAGTGTGCACGTCATTATCCCATAGGAGGCAAAAAATTATGTGCATAAATTAAACAATATTATCGAGTAATAATCTTACAAATCACAACAGCCCAGCAAATAAAATTAAAAATCACTCGCCACTAAAAGGGCTTCTTCCTGCTCTTCTTTTAATATGCTAGAAGTTCTAGACATTTTAAAAATGTTTAGTTTTGTTTCTCTGTTTAGCAACATTAAATTACAATAGTGAAAGGTGTCTTCCCTCAGGCAGATTGTATGTTTTCTAGCTGGATGTTGTGCTTACGATCAACAATCATGTCTTTGCATTCACCCAAACTGATTTGCAGAAATCAAAATACAAGTCCCACTCGCTATGAAGCGGGAGCGACTAGGCGGCAGAGGATTCCATTTGGTCATTTGGTCCAGCCTTTCTGGAGCGGTTACGTTCATAAGTCAAACAATGATTTGGAAAAAGAATAATTAATTTGTTATTTGTATGGTCTAGGTGGTCATACGGCGTATGCCTGCAAATATGGGACAAACTGATGCCTTAAATATGGGATGATTGCGTATTATACGGAATGGTTGGCAACCCTATTTAAAATGCAAAAGAGAATTGTCTCGCGGGCCCCCTAGTGTTCGGGGCCCTGGACTGCAGCCCATGTTGCCTATTAGGATAACGCGGCCCTGCCTTTGATTAATTTAATGCGTCCTTGCTAAATACAAGTTTTAGTTTCTCTAAAAAAATAAGCTAACTGACCCCATATTTGAATGCTAGTGTAAATGTAAAATGTGTCTTGAATTCACAGGAAAAGTGATGTTACTAATCAGAGGAGTGAATGTCGATGACTGTGAAATGAGTCAACCCATAAACGGGTGTAAAATCCCCCGTTCACTTTCCGCTGACTTGAACTTCAGCATCAGGACAGCTGCTAGCTAGAGCGCCTTTGCAGCCCATGAGTGATTGAGGCCACAGATTTGAGCCTGGAAGGAGCTGCTTTGCTTCCTGTTGCCCTTCTCCAGAGAGGTCCTCGTAAGGGGCGCAGAGGCTTGCGGCACGTCAGCCGCCCTCAACTCCTGGTGCTTTTACTTATCTCCTCCCTTCAGATGAAAAGGAAGTGAGGAGGAACTGGGGTTTCAAAAAAGGGAAATGGTCCCCACATCTGGAAGCTCTTTCGGTCCCTTTCGCTGCCTCTCTCGCTCCAGATCCTCCAGCTTTGGGTCTGGAAGAAGTTAGCGGGGGTGTGCGTTGTGAAACTAGCTGTTGAAAAGGTACCCCAGAAAGATTTACTTTGGAGACTCATGCTCCACCTCGGTGCACTCGCCCTCCCCCAAGGCCCTACGGCTCTGGCTCGCTATCTCAATGGCCCAATGTTGGGCAGCTTGAACTTCCGTTAATGGCTATTGCTTTCAGATACTCATTTTCATAGAGTTATTCACCTGAGCTGTTTGCGTAGCTGATCAATTCTCTCTAGCCATTCATTAGAACCTCTACAGGTTCCTTAATTGTTAGGGCTGTCAAACATAATAGCCTCGATTTAACTCCTCGTCCTCCTGAGCGATTCAGCTACTTGCAGTTGCTGCTGGAATGTGTTCTCAATTTGGGCATCATTTCTAAAATGAAACTAGATTAAGAATTTTAACAGCTTCTAAACAGAAAGAAGGTGGTTTAGCATTGAATACATTGCTCCAAATTTATAAATACACACTGCAGTTCAAAAGTTTTTGAAAAGTCTTTTATGCTCACCAAGGCTGCATTTATTTTATTAAAAATGCAGTAAAATACAGTAATTATATTTAAATATTACTACAATTAAGCTGTTTGTATTTAAATGTATTTTAAAATGTAATGTATTCCTGTGATGGCAAAGCTGAATTTTCAGCAGCCATTACTCCAGTCTTAAGTGTCACATGATCCTTCAGAAATCATAATCTAATATGCAGATTTGGTGCCTTGGTGAAACATTTCATAGAAATTGAAAACAGTTGTGCTGCTTAATATTTTTGTGAAAACGGTGAAAGATCTTTACAGGATTCTTTGAATAAAAAGTAAAAAAGAAAAGAAAAAGATATTTATAAATGTTACAAAGGATTTTTGTCAGTTCTTTTCTTTCAGTTTTGTTTTTTAACAATTTAAATGTATCCTTCCTGTTTTGAAAAACATTTAAAATCTTACTGACCCCAGACTTTTGAACCGTACTGTTTTTGTTTATTGAACATTAGTGTTTAACTTTGCTATATTTAAAATAGTTTTCAAAATAACGCGTTTGAATTGGACTGAGACCCTAACAGCGGCATGATTTATCCAAAATTTAGGAATATTGATACGAGTCAAAACATGATATTAATGACATCAATCTTCTCTGGAACACAAAATAAAATGTTTTGGAAAGTGCATCAGTGTTTTCTTCCCCATACAATGGTGGTCAGTGTTGTCAGGTGTAGTTTTGGATCCCAATGACTTGCATTGTATGGACAAAAACAGTTCTTCAAAAATGTCTTCTTTGGTGTCCCACAGAAGAAAGTAAGTCATACAGGTTTGGAACGACGAGGGTGACTAAATGATGACAGAATTTTAATTTTGGGTGAACCAGGTAGTACTAAAAGATTTGATCTGAACATTTAGTTTGTAGTGCTACTTTAGTTGGGCAAGGAACCGAAATCACCAGAAATGAAACTGGGCTTCCAGTGTGTTTAATGTTACACATTGGCCAGGCTTAATTTCCTTAACACAGAGCAGCTGACCCGGTCATGACTCGTGGAACCTGCTTTATCTGACAGTGGCCAATTTACATAGGGGATTGAGGAAGGAGTCCAGTTTCACAGCCAGTCAAGTCTCCTTTCACAAGGGCTCATCAGATGGAACCTCAATAGCCCAGCATATAGACCAGACCGAATTGTTCAACCTTGGGATCCCTTCTTTCTTTATAACCGTTGTTTTGCAAAACCCCTAAAAAAGCAGAATATTACAAGGCCAGACAGAATGTCAAGTCATAACAGTAGAGCAACTTTTCAGTGACCTTTTGTCACCCTGCAGGCACGGCAAGTATGACAATTGCTAGATTTTTGGCATCTGGATGACACCGGGGTGAGACATTGTCACAGAGCTGGAAATTCCTCTGTTCAAGCTTTTAGCATGCGTGGAATGTTTGACGAAGCAGAGCCAAGGCTTTCAGAAACGAAAGACCTTTAGCGTGGCTCTCAGATCACTGCGGTGGATTGAGTGTTTTATGAGCTCCATTGACGTGGATCGCTAAGCAATCCTCCCCCAGGGAACATACATCCCACTTAAAGAGGGAGCTGCTGAAAAACCAAGACACTAATTTTCCTGTTTTTGTCAGGATTATTGGAACCATGGTTGTTTGCAGTATTATTCTCATTGTTGTATTCTCCTTCCGCACCAATCACACAGTGGATTGTTGCAGGCTTCTGTAACCTGCAGCACCAGGGTTTTGTTTAGCCAGCTGATTAAAATCTTTCTGCCATTAGACGTCAAGCTTTGATGGATCTGATACTTTTTTTCTGTGTACGAATGGCATGCGCCTTGGTGATATAAAGGGGTAAAGTTAAAATGTGGTATAAAATCAGCAGGTATTAAATATTTCTTCTTGAACAGTTTTTAGATCTACCGATCGTGAAGTGTTAAGTATAAAGTTTGTAGCTCAGGTGGTCGACTTTTCTAGTATCTGAAGTAATGAGTTTTGTGGCTTGGTGAATTTTAATCGTCTGATCGCATGAAAGGCTGTGGAAAAAGATGCGGAGTGCCAGATGACAGAATAATTTTTTTCCCCCTGAAAACTTGAGCTTAATGTTTTGGGTGTGTTTCTTGGTTTCAGGCCTTTCACGTATCCAGCGGTTGGCTGAAAACACAGTCTATTTCCGTAGGAGACTGCAGGAGATGGGATTCATCATCTATGGCAACAATGACTCACCTGTGGTACCCATGATGCTCTACATGCCCGCCAAATTAGGGTTCGTTTTTTTCTCTCTCTTTTTTTTCAATCTCTCAGTATACTTACTCATGCATGCTAATATCCTACAAATTAAAGAAGTAGTTCACACAAAAATCCCCTCCCAAAAAAAACACACATTCTGGTACTTTGTTCAATGAAACACAAAATGAGAAAGTTTAAATAATTTCTGACTCCATGTTTTCCTAAAATGGAAGTACATATTACGTAGTGACACCTGTCAAGCTCTAAAATGCTCATAAAGTCATGATAAATGTTTGTAATACATCTGTACTGCTTATGCACTATATTGCAAGTGTTTCAAAGCCTCATGATAGCTCAGTATGCAGCTCTGAAAATCAAATGAAACGTATGATTTGACTTGAGTCAATGATTTGAATTTAAGTCTGTTCCTCAGATTTCCAAAGTTAAAGAATATAGTGCACAAGTCATATGCACTATTTTGCTAGTACTTTATTCATCCTTTAAAGCATTCTTCCTTTGTGTTCCAGTGTTATTTTAGTATTATTTATATACTATTATAGCATTTATTATTATTTTGAATTGGCTAATATTTTTATGTTTTCATTTTAATGCACTTTTTAGACTATTTTAAGATCCTTTTTTAATCTTGCAACTCACAATTATAAGAGCATTTAAGACATTCATAGTGTCTCCGATTTACATTTCTGTAGAAAAATCAACATTTAATTTTAGGTACGTTTTAGTATTTTCTGTGAATTTTTTTTTTTTTTTTTTTTTTTTTTTTTTTTTTTTTTTTTTTTTTTGGTCATTTTCATGTTTTAGAAATATTTATCATAGCTCTAATTAAATTTGATCTTAGTTTTAGTTTCAAAACATTGGTTTCAGTTATTTGCCAGGACAACATTTCAAATGTTTGTGGGTTTTTTTTTTTCATCTAATATTTATTTTATTTCAATTACCAAAAAACAATATCTTTTTTTTTTTTTTTTTTTGCGCCACATACTGGTTTAAAATGACATGAGGGTGAATAAATAATGACTGAATTTCCATTTGTAGCAACATTTCAAATGTTTGTGGGTTTTTTTTTTTCATCTAATATTTATTTTATTTCAATTACCAAAAAACAATATCTTTTTTGTTTGTTTGGTTTTTTTTGCCACATACTGGTTTAAAATGACATGAGGGTGAATAAATAATGACTAAATTTCCATTTGTAGGTGAAGTAATACTCTTGAAGACACATTTCTTGTTTAACAAGGGTTCAGGTCTATAAACGTCAAAATAAATTCAAATGGATAATAGATTCATAATAGTGCCTCATAATAGAACAAAAACAAGCGCATGGGAAAGCTTAGTTTGGAAAGAACTTCTTAAATCTTTTCATGAAAATTGATGAGGTTGTGTCTGTGTTTCCAGGGCGTTTGGTCGGGAGATGTTGAAGAGAAACATTGGAGTAGTGGGGGTGGGCTTCCCAGCCACGCCGATCATAGAGTCCAGAGCCCGCTTCTGTATCTCTGCGGCCCACACCAAGGAAATGCTGGACAGGGTAACTACTCGTTTTCTTGCCACAGCGAGTACATCCGTTAATTTAGATCACTTCAAAGCAGCATTGTACCCTTTTTACTAGGCTTTGTTTCTCATGCCATACATTTTAGTGTTTACAATGGAATATGTTGACTTAATGGAAAAAAACTGAGCCTTCATGACATACTGATGTAAAAGTCGAAGTACAGAGCCCCATAGGGTGAGTTTGGTTGAAATGTGCTTTACATTTCAAGAAGGAAGGCTTTCAACAGGAATTAGACCAGAAATGTCTGTCATCTCTGTACGTCGAGTTCAAACCCCTGTCCATCAATCTTCTGAAATATAGTACTTCAAACTTGATACAACTTTTATGTTTGAAAATAATCACTGTCTAAAGAATTCCAGGCTCCTCCTCAAACTGTCCTGCGCTATAAATTAATGCAGGTCTTGAATGAGGCCGCTGTTGAGGGGTTTACATAAGCAGCGCCTGCCACAGGGGTCTGCACTGGCAGCAGATCAAAGAGCATCTTAATCTGCCTCCCCAAGGACACTTTGATTTAACTATGGTGAAAAGCACACCGGCCGTCAGCCCCCCTTCCCGTGCTTAAGAAAACACTGTGCACTTTGATGTGACCAGTTATCACGTCAACACATTTTTCAGTGTCCTTCTGACATGTTTTCTTGCATTTCTTCCATTGCTGAATAGCAGAGATTGTACAAAGTGCATAACTAAAGTTGAAAGGGTTTAGGGCTGGACAGTTTCATGAAAAAATTATATCACAATATATTTTTGTCACCTTTTGATTATTTCGTATATATCTTTAATTATTCTATTCTATTCTATTCAGTGTCTTTCTGAAATATTTTCTTGCATTTCTTCCAGGATGACTAATATTGTACAAAGTGCATAAGAAAAGTATTTAGAGCTGGGCAGTTTTATGGAACAATATATCACCGTATTTTTGTTGCTTTGTGTGTGTGTGTATATATAGATAGATAGATGTATTTGTGTGTGTGTGTGTGTGTATATATATATATATATATATATATATACATATACATATACATATACATATATATATATATATATACATATATATATATATATATATATATATATATATATATATATATATATATATACACACACACACACACACATTTACATTTTACATTTAGTCATTTAGCAGATGCTTTTATTCATATTTTTATTCAGTCTCCTTCTGACATATTTTCTAGCATTTCTTCCATTGATAAATGACTAAAATTGTACAAAGTACATAAAAATAGGAAGATTTTAAGGTTGAAAAAAATGTCAATATATTTTTTAGCCTTTTGGTGACATTTTGTATATAACTTAACTTTTATTTATTTGTCTTCTATTTTATTTTAATGTATTGTACTTTGTCTACTTATTTTTTTTTATTTTAAAATCAGAGAAACCATCATTTCAACCAGACAGACATCAGATTTGTTAAAGAAATGCTTAATGCAAATAGTAAAATCTAGTAATAAATAATAGTAAAAATCTAGTTTTAAAGTATTAACATTGTTTATGACCGATGAACACGCAGAAGAATATTTAAATGCCATTTAAATATTAATATGAAATTGTTTTATTTATATGCACAAAAATAACTGTATCAGCATATTTGGCTAAAACATTGTAATATGTGAAAGATGTCAAGCAGAGACTTGTGTGAACATTTTTAAGTGATGATTCAAATGATTCATTGATTCAAAGTTTGAATCAGTTCATTGAACATACCAAATCTAAGCAGCTTTTTACAGTGTTGCTCAATTAATCATGAATGTATCGTGAATATAGAATATACAGTATATAGGCCTAAAGTTTTTTTTAATAATTGACATTTTGTGCATTTCATGGTAACTTGAACCAGAAATCTGTATGGAATCAATTGCAGTATAAACAATGCAGCTAGCATTGCCATGACTATATTATATCAAACTTTTGAAGTACTGCATGGTAGGTGGCAGCTGCTTCTCAGCATTAGCATGTTATGACTTACATGTGTAACCATGAAAGTAATGGAGCATGATGATTGTTTTCAGGCGCTGGATGTGATCAGTGAAGTCGGCGATCTGCTGCATCTGAAGTATTCGCGGCACAAAGTTCTTCCCTCATTGGACCGGCCCTTTGATGAGACCACATATGAGGAGAACGAAGAGTGACGTACTTCCTATCTGAACCAAATGTGCACTGCTCATCTTCTGCTCTCGAAAGGAAGCAGCGAACCACTTAATAAATATAACTTTTTTAAACTTAGGTATATCATCTTTATTTTAACACATAAAGCTCTAAACAACAGCAAAACATTGATGCTTTTAGAAAAACATTTTTTTGTCACTCCCCAGTTTCCTCTACTGCATTTGTCACCTCAGTTTTGTTTTGACGTGAGGTCTGTTTTTAACTCGTTGTGGCATTCGTTTAGGGAAATTAATACTTAGATTTTTCTCTGCCAGCCACAGGACGCTTTGAACAGCTTGTGTACTTGCTAAAGCCATATGTCACTGCAGCCTTCAAAACCATTGAGACTTTTTTTTTTCTCCAGTAAGTGAGAACAGACTGGCAGCGAACCCATAATTCAGAGGATCCTGACCTATGAAAGGAATTACAGGTTCTTCTTATTGCATTGTCAGTACATTCACTGTGCTACCTAAATCAAACTCCAAAACCTCCACAACTTGGCTCTCTAGTTGTTGTTGTTTCCACAGATTTTGACTTGTGGCCAGCTCTGGTGTCTTGGTTCAATCTGGCTATCGGTTTTCTTATGTTACCAGGATATTTATTTTTTCATCGAGATGTTGGCTATGTCTGAGGCAAGTCTAGGTAGAAACAAGCATATTTATCAAATTTTCACCTCTGAGGAAACTTGGATGCTGATTATATGCATTATCTCCAAAGCTGCAGCGCAAGTTGTGCGGTATGATTCCAAAACCTTGTAGAAACTTTACATTTTAATAGAATCGTTCACCCAAAAATGAAAATGTGGTGAAAGTTTACTCACCTTCGGGCCATCCAAGATGTAGATGAGTTGGTTTCTTCATCAAAATTTAGAATGTCACTTGCTCACTAATGGATCCTCTGCAGTGAATGGGTGCCGTCAGAATGAGAGTTCAAACAGCTGATAAAAATATCACAAGTAATCCACATGACGTGCATATTTTTCTCCTGATTCAGAGGAAATTACTTTTTCACTGGAGAAAGCAATATTATGGATAGAGGACTCATATTTGAAGTTAAATATATTACAAACATGCAGCTTTTCGATGCACAAGACATTAATTGATGGTCTGGAGTCATGTATATAGGAACTTGTAAATTATTGTGATGTTTTTAGCAGCTATTTGCACGCTCATTCTGACGGCACCCATTCACTGCAGAGTATAAATTGATGAGCAAGTGATGTGATGCTAAATTTCTCCAGATCTGTTCTGATGAAGAAACAAACTCATCTACATCTTGGATGGCCTGAGGGTGAGTAAATTTTAATTTTCCTTGACATGCAACTATTTTAATAGTGACTTATTAGTGTATGAGTGCAATACTATGAATAACTAATAAGTTTGCTCTCTCGCAAGAGTTTTCATTGTGTAGTTATATAAGCTTTCCTCAATATTGATTAAAGTTCATTGTCTTATGATTTCCAAGCTCTTTAAAACACTTTTCAGCCTTCGTGAAAGGAGCTTTATGTATATGTTTCTTTAATGTACATATTTATAATTCATGTTTCATATCTTTTATTGTTTGGAGAAGTGTACTTTAATCATCAACGGCAGCTCCAGATATCTCATATATGCACATGCATGATGTGCATGCTCTCAGTGCACCTGCTACTGATGAGTATTTTTATATCATTTTAATATTCTCAGCAAAGCATGTGGGATGTAATCACTGAATCTGCTGGTTTATGATGCTTTAAAGGTGCTGAAATGTACACTCTTTGTTCTGTTTTGTGGCTTCTGTTGCTTTGGTCCTGTGGGGTAGTACATTCTCCCATGTATTTAAAGTCCCAAGTCTTTTACAACATCAAAATCCAGGGATATTTCATTTTAACCATGTTTTTTTTTATATGCAACCAGAGGAGAAACTACACAGATTAAGAGATGTTTAAAAAAGCAAAAGATGGAAACAATCATTTTTTTTTCTTGATAATATATAAACGGACATTTAAGAAAGGTTAATCCAACTACAAAGACTTCTTGTTCAGATAAAACACAAGCTTTACCAGTACATTCATTGTATATGTTCTAATATGACTTGGATTTTGCTGCCTGTAGTGCATACTGTTTTTAAGACCTACTTTTGAATCAAAGTACACTGTGGGCTTCATCAGTTCAGGAGTTGTTGCACTCTTCTAAGGAAATTAAATTACTATGACTAAATGTATTATTAAGGTCCTTTGTGTTCTTTTCTCACTTTACATTTTGCACATTTCTATACTGTCCCGACTCGCTTCACAGTTAAATTATTTTGCTAATCCAGTGGCTGCTAGATTATAAATGTGATAGTTCTGAATTAATACCTCAGAGGACTTCAAATGACCACATTAGAGGAAACATATTGTACATATTAAGCTTCTTGGAACTGATTGTTGGCAAAGCCTCAATTTATACAATTCACAAAATAATAAATATATTATTTATTTTTAAAAATGAATAAAAAAATTAAACCATAATACATTTGAAAATAGTTTTTATAAAATATTTACTATATATAAATGGTTTGTAACATTATTTATTGGTTTTGCAAGTCTCTTATGCTCAAGGCTACGTTTATTTGTTCACAAATATAATAAAAACTAATATTGTGAAATATGAACTCATTTACAAATATTAACTTTATTTTTCAAATGGTATAAACATAAAACATTTTTTGTTATTATGGATATTTTTAAATGATCACAGAATTTATTTTAAACCGAAATCTTTTGTAACAAATTTTATACTCTTAATGCATCCTTACTGAATAAAGGTATTTAATTGGATTTTTAAAATCAATTAAATGCATCCTTGTTGAATAAAACGGTTAATTTTTTTTTTCAAAGTAATCTTACTGACACTAAAAATTTGAACGGTACACTGTAAAAAAAAAAATCCGTAAAATTTACGGTAAAAAACCAGCAGCTGTGGTTACCGGAATTTTACCGTAAAAAATACGGTAGCAACGTTTAGGTTTTGCGGTTTTAACTTAAATTTACAATCAAATACCGTAATTTCATTAACTGATATAATGTTAATATACCAACCTATTGAAGCACTGACATCTGTTTTATACCTTTGTAATACACTGATAACCACCAAATGCAGGAGGTGATGAGAAAGTCACATGATGATCCAAAGCCCATCACAAGCATCTTTTAAATAATATGTATAGAAGGTGCGCCGTGTCTTTCACACAAACACCAAACACCATCATGGTAACACACATGAAACTGAAATAATGTAATAAACCAAAGTAATCTTACTGACACTAAAAATTTGAACGGTACACTGTAAAAAAAAATCCGTAAAATTTACGGTAAAAAACCGGCAGCTGTGGTTACCGGAATTTTACCGTAAAAAATACGGTAGCAACGTTTAGGTTTTGCGGTTTTAACTTAAATTTACAATCAAATACCGTAATTTCATTAACTGATATAATGTTAATATACCAACCTATTGAAGCACTGACATCTGTTTTATACCTTTGTAATACACTGATAACCACCAAATGCAGGAGGTGATGAGAAAGTCACATGATGATCCAAAGCCCATCACAAGCATCTTTTAAATAATATGTATAGAAGGTGCGCCGTGTCTTTCACACAAACACCAAACACCATCATGGTAACACACATGAAACTGAAATAATGCAATAAACATTCATTTAACAACATTAGGTGTAACACTCAACCCTAATATACAAAACTGATAAGAAAAAACTAAGAAGAAACATAGTTATTTCAACAAAAAAACAACAAATTTGAAATGTAACGCAGGGAATTCTGGGAATGTCAATTTACGGTTATTCACTGTAAATTATACGGCCTATTTCACTTCCAAAAACGGTATACTACCGTAAAATTAATGTCCAATACACCGTATATAGTAGGGGAATTTACCGTTAACCATTTAACAGGTTTTTACTGTAGCATTTTTACAGTCTTTTACCGTTAAATTCACGGTCATTTTTTACAGTGTAGTGTAGCCTACAAATCTAAAATAAACAAATATTAAATATTTTTTATAAATAATATGGACCAAACATATTGCCTTAAATAAGCCAAAACCTTTCTCTTCAGTAGGTCTCATGAAGATATTATAAACCACGCAGCACCAGCTTTCATGCTTCAGTCATTCATTCATTCAGTCATTCATTCAGTCAGAGTGGGGTTTATGAACCCCTCCTCCACAGACGTCACACAAGCGGAGGGAGATGAATGTCACATCCAGCCAGTGAATTACTGAGGGCACTTCACCACAGTACCTGCATGAGGTGTAGACTTCTGTGAGCATGAGTCAGGAGCGCATCATACATCTGCATTTACGGGTAGTGAGGAAACGAGCTCTGCGTTGATCTTCTTTGCGTCTTGGACCTTCAGTTGCTCAGTGCGCATTGCGCTCAGAGAGACGCGTGTTTGAGGAGCTATCCACCGCAGAATCACACTCAAACAAGACTGTTCTTCATAGGCTATATTTCCACTGGATAGAGGCAAACTCACGACACCTGAAGAACTCTAAGAGAGGAATATTAAAGTTTGGGAACTGCTGAAATGCGTTTGGGGACCAAGAACATCCCGTCTCTGAGGGACACGCGGACATGAGGGTTGTTCTCCTGCTCACTGAGAATTTGCTTTACGTGTTTAATGCCTAATGCATTTCTGACGGTTTAGATGGATTGGTTTTATATGAGGGATGGGCATACATACAAAGAGAGAAACATAAAAGAACCTTGGAACTGAAAAGGGTTGAGTGCCGTTCACAGGAACTCATCAAAAGCGGTGCACGATAGCAAACTCATAATCAAAACGACCCTTATTATTATTTTTTACGAAGTCATGCTGATTCGAAGCCAAGCTTTACGGTGGGCAGTTTTCTTGACACTTTGTCTTCTGTTGGCGAAGGGGTTCCCTGCAAAAAGAGGAAGAGCAGATCACATCAAGAGCAAGAGTGGAGCATCTCTAGAGGTATGAATTCATCAATAGTTAATGATTAATTAGCTATTTTTTAAAATACATTTTATTTTACAGCAACAGAAGAGTTTATATCTAAAATAATAACAGATATTTGTCAGAAAATCCCAAATAAATGCTAATGACATTGGGATGAAACATAACTTTTAGACCATAAGAGGTCTAAAAGTTCATATGCAATCACATACTGTAGTTCATGTTCCGGATTCTATGACCATCTTGGTCAGTGATGTGGGAAAAATTAACGATGTCACCTGATCGGGTTTTTTAACCAATAGGAATGACTGGAGCTAATTGTCACTTAGGGTAAGATGTCACATCCAATAACTATACCATCCAGTCAAACCAATGTGTTTTATCTATATTACTATAGGCTAACTGAAAGGAGAACCGTTTTCTCAAGATAAAATTATCTTTAAAAGGATAAGTTTATGTATTCCAATATTTGTAGGCCACAACAGCGATTTGATATTCAGTGTGACAACTAGCCCGGTCTGCTTTACTATGCTGCAGAACACAATGAATTTAAATGAGTTTTCAAAGAGCAGCAGGTGTCAGACAGGTAGGAATCTTTTTATTACATAACATATCATATCATCTCCAGAAAGAACCAGGATAAAGTTTATTATAGGTCAAACCACACTGAAAATACAGTTTCCATATATAGTCAAAGTGTGCTTAATGCCTGCATGGCGGCGGGGTGGTTAATTTGACCCATCTGTTAAATGATAAACCACAGTTTAATGCTCATGGGTTGTTCTGGGTATTTAATTCATTAATTTCTCCTTCAGCAGAGAAGTGAGGTCACACTGAATCCAGGGTTATGCTGTGACTTTTTTTTCATGGATCAGCTTTATGGAGTGTTAACGCAGAGAGGAAATGCAAACTTACCCCAGGCTGCCTTTTAATAGTAATTTCCCCTCTGAAAAGAATTTCGAACATAAGTCCACTATCCTAGACGTAAAACTAAGGCCTCTTTTGCATGTGCACATGAATCAATCAATATAACAGATACTCGACTCACTATGCACAACCTGAGCAGGGGGTTAAGAACACATCTTGCTCAAAGGTGCGAAGATCTGGCAGAAAGCAGACTGGTAAGCGGCAAGACTCGGGTGATACAAGACTGGTCTTTGTGCGCCGTGTGAAAACATAACGTCTCCCCTACCTTTTAAGCCAATTGGGAAAGATGTTTTTATTAAAGTAGCCACCGGGGTTCACGCAGACATGGGAGGGCCATTGTTTCCCCTGCGCAACAGGAAGTCTTTGCTTCACACAAAAACTGACACTTACTAATCAAAACAGCCAGCTGGAATCCGATATGCCACGCTCAGAGAAATCTCGTAGGAGTTCAGCGGCCTTGGTGCTATAATTGATAAGCCCAATAATCACAGGGCTCTTCCTCTCCTCAAGCCCAAGCAGACACCAATTCCACAAATGGTGCCAAATTCTTGAGCCCCGCTTGGAAGTTCATGTTGGCGTTTCTTAGCAATCTCAAATGTCCAGTGCTCTAATTGAGGTTAAGCTGAAATGGTAAACCATAATCTGTTTGAAAGTATATTGCGAATGCCTTGGTAGACGCTGTGAAATCTATATTCAGAATTTAATGAAGAAACACCAGATAATATTTCACAAAAACCACCAGAACACACACATACCAGCCTGAAAGTAGAAATATATTTAATAATGTGCCTGCATGTTGCTGAGTACAACTATTTTTTAGATCTTGGCTCTACAAAACATGTTGTGCAGCACCGAGATCTGATTATAAACATCTGAAGCTCGTAAAAGAAAAGATATGTATCCAATTTGCCTTTCTTTAGTTTATAACATTAATACAGTTGGTATCAAGATGTACAGTACAACTTTGGTACAAGTTGGTTATCAAGTGTCAACAGGAATTCTAGGGGGATGTGATTTCTGAGGCTTAGATGACGCTAATGAAGAGTTTTTGACACAAGCCATCTGAGAGATGCCAGACATGGATCTGTGCGGGATATATCCATCTAGGTGCTCTAACCTTGAGCTTCACTTGCTGCACACAAAAGTGTTTCATATGGAAACCCATTTCTGCCCTTGAAAAAAAAACAGGTACATGTGAGTAAAGTTTTAAACAAGAAATATTCATTCAGATTGTACGATATAAAGGCATAACTTTAAAAAATAGAAATGCAATCGTAAGATAAAGTATGAAGTTTACAAGGAAAGATTTGCAGTGTCAACTGAGACTGAAATTAATGTTGCAATTTTGAGAAGAACCGCAGTTCTAAGAAATAAAGTTGTAATTATGTTAAAGGTGGGGTAAGCGATTTTTCAAAAACGCTTTTTGAAAACTGATTCGGGCCGGCTAGCAAAACAAACTTGTAGCCAATCAGCAGTAAGGGGCGTGTCTACTCATGATGTGGAGGAGAGAGTGTTCAGTGCACAGGACGGACATTAGCGAGCCGAGCGACAGAAAGATAGAGATGGAGGATAAAAAACAAAAGAGGAAAACGTCTGCGGAACAAACGAAGGCTTAAGGCAAGAAGTAGGACCCGTGTAAATATCGAATCAGCTTTCCAGCGCTGGAGAGAACTCAAGGAGCGGAAGGCCTGCGATCGGACGCCGAGGTTTCTTCTCGATAGGTGAGTAACATCGTGTCTGCTCCGCAACAACTAAAGTCTGTCTAGTACACTGGACGTGACAAAGCGACCATTGAAAATCATTTGAAATTTGTGTCAATACGTCATAAATAGAACGCAGCAGCAGTTTTCTGTCGGGGATTTATCGTGTCGTGCCGCGCCGCATCCAGTGTAGACCATAGATATGTATATACTGTATATCTATGGTGTAGACAGCATCACTGATTATGAGTTCTATAGTATTTTGTCGCGCCGCAACTCAAGGAGCGGAAGGCCTGCGATCGGACGCCGAGGTTTCTTCTCGATAGGTGAGTAACATCGTGTCTGCTCCGCAACAACTAAAGTCTGTCTAGTACACTGGACGTGACAAAGCGACCATTGAAAATCATTTGAAATTTGTGTCAATACGTCATAAATAGAACGCAGCAGCAGTTTTCTGTCGGGGATTTATCGTGTCGTGCCGCGCCGCATCCAGTGTAGACCATAGATATGTATATACTGTATATCTATGGTGTAGACAGCATCACTGATTATAATGAGTTCTATAGTATTTTGTCTTGCCGCGCCACTCGCGTCCGGTGTAGACATGGTGTAACATTGGTTTTGCTTTGTTTCACAGAACTATTAGTTGCCTGGGTTGCGTACGTATGTGTGGGGTGGAGCTATCAAAATAGGGACGAGACCCTTTTGGGGTAGGGGCGTGTTTGTTTTAGTGATTTCAAATTTCAACATTGGCTACCAGAAATCGCTTACCCCACCTTTAAATTAAGTCACAGTTATGAGAAATTAAGTTACAATCTGTAGATGTAAAGTCACAATTGTGAGATATAAAGTCGCAATTCTAAGAAATAGTCACAATTATGAGAAATGAAATTGTGAAATATGAAGTTGCAATTGAGATTTAAAGCCATAATTTTGAGAAATAAAGTTGTAATTGTAAGATGTAGTTTCAATTTTGAGATAAAGTCATAATTCTAAAAATTAATGTTGCCATTATGAGAAATAAAGTCACAGTTATAAGAAATAAAGTTGTAATTATGAGAAATACATTTGTGATTTGAGAAATAGTTGCAATTGTGAAATATGAAGTTGCAATTGTTTTAAGTCGAAGTTTTGAGATGAAAAGTCACAACTTTGGTAATTTTCGGAAAAAGTTTCAATTCTAAGAAACAAAGTCACAATTTTGAGAAACAAAATTTTAATTATAAAGAAAATGTGTAGCTGTGAGACATGATGGTGCAAAAGTCACAGTTCCAAAAGTAAAGTCACAAAAATGAGAAAAAATTTAAGGCCACAGTTACCTTATTATTTTTTCACACTGTACTAGAAATGAGCTTCCATAGTTTTAACTGCATGACACGCTGACAAGTAATAAGGACTTCTGACAGTGTGATTAATCCTTGGCTCGAAGAAAAACTTGCTTTTCCCTCTTTTTTTTGGAAGGGAATAATCAAATCCATCCATTTTATTGAATTATGAACAAGCCGCTCAGTTTTCCGTCGCTAATGCTTCCCATTTGCTTTCTTTCTAGGCGGTCAGAGGTAATGCTTTGTGAGGGTGTTGGGGAAATCAGACTCTGAATGTTTCATGTGCTTTGGGACTCTGGTGCCTCTCCAGCTTCGGTGCCCTGATGCCCTGCCCTTGTTGTGGTGGCACCTCGGCTCCAGCATATTCAGCTCAAAGCATCCCCAGACCATGTATGTGTGTGGTATTTATTTTGGCAGGGTCATATTCGTTTATTCTCTTAGGTCTCTGTGCCCATCCAGATGGCACGTCCTATAAAACACAACAACTGTTTGTGAGGAGAGGAGATAACACAGGGTACACTTATGCTGTTGAGGCATGCCAAGAGAATCAGATTGTAACATGATGGTATGCTGGACGAAAAATATAGAGAAAGAACAACATAAAGGCATGAGGACTATGATCGTCTCTGCTTCTGGGCAGGATTCCATCCTTACCATGTCACTCTTCTCACAAGTAGCCTTGCTGTCTTGCCTCCTCTATTTCTGTTGGCCCCCTTTGTAGAGAGTCAGGAATTCGGGCTCTAGGGACTTAGCTGTTGCGAGCCGCTTTGCAGCACAGGAAAGTATTCTTTCAAATTTCTTTTCTCGTATTAACCTGTAGCACTCATGTGAAATCATAGTCATCCTTTTCGTCTCAGCTGGTGGATAAGCAGTTTCACCCATGTGAAGAAAGTGATCAATACAAACTGCAATGCTGAGTGATGAGCTTATCTTGGCGTGACTTTTTCTCAGAGGTTTGATTATAGAATGATTGAAGGGAATGGTATGAAAGATCTCTGGAAGGTGCACAAAGTGAGGAAACACTCGAAATCCCTCATTGTGCTCACTACAGGCAGGCAGAGAAAATTTTGTGGATGGTAACATCTCATTGGTTTTCACACGGTTGTAAAAAACAAAAAATAGACAGTAGTTCCCAACTGCACTCCGACTGTGCAATTCCTAGCTGACACACTCACTCATGTTTACTGTCTTCTAAAGGCCCTTTAAATATTTGGCAGAATAAAGATTTTAAACAAGAACAAGATTTTAAATAGCAATTGCTATGGAAAATTCACATGTAGATAATAACCATGTACTTGGTTTTCTTCATTCAGTGATGAAAACGTGCCAACCAATAAGATTTCGGCTTCGGGTCAAGTGTACAGCCAGTCAAACGGCAAACATTCAAGATGGGTTGTACGTTCATTTATACAACAAAACTTAGTTGACAATATATAGGCTATGTTAAATTAGCCTACATGTTGTCATATTAACAACCAGTCAGTAAATAAACGAATGTAAGTCTCATACAATGTGTAGGCTACTAGTCAAGTAGCCTACACATTGTAGTTGTGTGAAAGGATTTAACATTCTCAGTTTATTTCAAATCAGGCATTTCGGAAAAATGGCTCGCGGTTTAGCGTGTCAATAAACTAGTAGCCTAACAGCTCTGAATGATTCACTGACTTTGAATCAGTTCACAGGAGTCATTTGTTCGCGTTTGACATCACGACCCGCGCTGTGCGTGCATTAGGGATGGACGATATCACTTATTTTGTTTTCGATACGATACCGATATTTTTCAAGGCAGTATCGTCGATATCGATACCGATTCGATACTTCTGACCTAAACTTTTAAATTATGAAATTTATCAAATTATTAAATTACTAAGAGTAAAATGGGTAATGATAATCCCTTAACTTTTTGTTTAAAACGCATTTTAACATTCAATACGCCTTAATGGTAACTTATTAGGATATATTTTTTGTTTACACATGGTTCAGATATGTTTTTTGTTTACACATTATTCAAATCTATAAATACTACAGTACTTTAGTAAAACCATGGTTCATTTTAATTAGGGACTGCCAGTGACAGGCTGTTGCATGCATAAAATGCAACCTTTTTATTCTGACAGTGTATGATTTCTATTAACATTACAGAATAGAACATGATCAATATTACCTTTCAACGTTCGATTTAAATAACTGTAATTGCACAAACTATGCAGGCTACAATTTCAGTTGGTTTATTGTGAAATAACTCTGTCCTTCTGTCCTCTGATAAGCATTGTTCAGGGCTGCCGTTCCCAAAAGCTTTAATGCTTTCTTATGATACTTTTGGGAACGTGGCCCTGTGTGAATGCACTGTCAGAAGTGAGTGAACGCTCTCTGATTGATTAGTTCTGTACCAAGCTTTACTTTCGCGACTGAATTTTAAATTATTTCCGCACATTTTATTATATGACGCAGGGTGACCGCTTCAGTTTGTAGCTGTGCTTTTGGAACAGCGTTCCTTCGCGTCGGGAGAACGCTTGTTTATCGGTCGATAATCTTAAACGTATTTCCATCTATCAAAATGCTAACTCTGTGCTGAACAAATTTCAATGGAAATGATAAAATACTGCATTGAAATAGAAAAGCTTTTCGTTTGGATGTTAATAATTGTGTAAAAATCATTAAAGAAGCTTCCATTCCATTCCTCCTCCCCACCCCCGGTAATGATGAACTTCATTATAGCGCAATGGTGAAGTTTATCGTCTGGAGCAGAGGACATCTGTTTTGCGTGTGGGAGAGACACAAGCAGTGAAGTGAGACAAGGCAGGCCACGCATGATCAGTAGAGAGAGGCTTTGATCAGACAGACCCAACTCCCCCTCTCTCCTCTGCTGCGTCAGAAGGGAACATTGGGACCATCAAACCAAGTCTCTAGATGAAGAAGAGCAGGAATACCAAATGTTGAAATGCACCAAAGTGATTTCAATCTGTGAGGATCTGAGATGGAGATTTGAAAGTAAGGGAGTTATAGTGTTGGTTATAGAGAATGCTTGCAGAATGATGTGGCCATGATGAGGACATATGTGTCTCTTGCTTTCTGATTTATGCTTGTGTATGTTGCTGTTCTTTTGAAGTCTCTGGTGGCTTATAGACAGGGCCTCCACAAGAACTCTTTGAAGCGCAGCATGACCCAAAATGTAAAGTCTAAACTGAGTTTCATCTGGTGCTTATTGCATGTTGGAGAGTGCATGCAGCTAAAGACAACATGGGCATTTATACTATTTACTTACAACATTTAAATGTCCCGGGTCTTGTTCTGCACAATTCATCAGTGTATATTATTTGAAAGAAAAAGAAAACAATGTTGTTTTACACAATGTGTGTTAAAATATAATCAACAAATTAAAAAATTAAATTAACCAATAATACTTTTTGACCCACACAATATATATATATATA